CGGCGTGGCGTGGGAGCTCGCCTGGCGCGGCGGCCCGAGCAGCTGCCGCCGCCGCCCCCCCGGCCCCGCGGGGGCAACAGCTGCGCGGGGAGGCGAGCGGAGGGGCGGCCGCGTCCTCGGGGGCCCAGCCCGGCGCTGCGGGGAGGCCGGGCGAGGGGGGCAGTCCCCCTCTGGGAGGGGCGCCCTGGCCCCCGCAGCCGGAGGGGGCCCTTCCGAAGGCGCCACGTCCCGACGGGACGCCCAGTGCCCTTGGCATGGGAGGATGGACTGCTCCCGGATGGGGAAGCTCCGCTGAGCAGCCAAGGGGAGATGGAGAGCCCAGGACCACCCGGGAGGGTCCCTCCTGCAGCATCGGCGCCTCGGTCGGTCAAGGCCCGTCCTGCCCACGCAGCCCCGGTTCACCACCACGAGCCACTGCACGGGTCGAACCACGGGTGGTCCCGCTGTGTGAACCGAGGCGCACGACCAAACCACAGCTGGTTAACCACGGGACGACCTAAGTCAGACCTCCAGGTCTCTTCATGGATTGTTCCCACTTCACCAACTCCGCTTTAGCTTTGCTCAGAACCATGAGGACTAGCATCCGAGCCCAGGTTACGTCCTTGGCATCTGGCACCCCAGCGGGCCACTGCCCCAGACTGGGTCTGTGGTCCAGCGGCAGCCCAGGCTCAACCTCCCGCTGGCTCGTGTCGTGTGGGGCCTCAGGCCAGCAGCCTGCCCAGGTTTCAGACGCCAAACCCTGGCCGCAGCTATGAGCTATGGCAGAGCCAGATTCTAGTCCTCATGGTCTTGAATCAAGTTTGGATTTAAATGGAAATGTGGCAGATTTGTGCCAGGATTGTCAATGACTGGCGGAGGCCCCCCAAGATGGATTCGTATCTGGAGATGCCACCGGCAAAGCTTCCAAGTCCCACAGGATCAGTCCGGTGACTGGATTGGGGCCATGGCGGGCCTTAGCCAAGTCCGGGCTGGAAATTCACGTAAACATGAGGTCCTTACTTGGATTTCTGGCGCCTTCCCCGGCTCAGCCTCCCACCCACAACATGCACCTGGACTACAGCCCCCATCATCTCTACAGCGCTGAGGTTGATGGCAGTTGTTGTCCACGCACACCTGGAGGCGGCTGGCTTGGAAAGGCGACCCGTCTTTTGCAGTGTGCTGCCGGGAAAGTCCAGGGACCAAACCGGATCAGGCTGAAGGCTGGTTTTCCCCGCATCCTGTTCCCGTGGTGGTCAGCCCGAGGTGTCCAGCCCACCATGGCAGCCCACCCATCCCGCTGTTTGTCCTTGGGGCCTGTGGCCTGCAGATATACTGCCTTGGAATATGGAGGCTCCATTTAGGCCCCTCATGTCGTGGGACAGCTGAGGGCGGAGAGGAGGGGGAGCGGCTGCAGTACTTTGGCCTGCTGGTCAGCAAAAACTCCCAGGATTAATGACAAGGTGGTCCCTGCCGTTGGGTTTACACTGTAAAAGTGACCCCAAGGGAGAGCGACTTGGGAGAGAGGGAGAGCAGCAGCACCTGCTCCTCTTTTCAGTGCTCTTTCCCGTCTTCAGCTCCTCACAGCTGCTCCTTCTCCGGCTGCTGCCTGGGAATCCGGCCGCGATCCCCCCCGGGAAGGCTGCCTCCGAGCGGCCTTCGTTCCCGGATGATGAATACGCAGCCGACCTGCAGGCCTGGGATCCCCTGGGGACAGAAGGCGGATGTGGGGCCAGGCGGGTCCTGCTGTCGGAGGGCCCCTGTGTGTGGGGGGTAAACACTGGGCTTAAAGAGGAGCCCCCGGGGCGCCCGGGCAGTGCCCGGCCGCCTGGCTTTCTCGGGTGCCTGTTCCAAAACTGCTCCAGAAAGTCGCGGCTGAAGGCGTTTGTCGGAAAGTGGGGGACTGCCCTGACGAGCCAGAGCCGCTCTCCAGAGCTTCAGGTGCGGGCCTTTCCTAGCCCATCCCAGAGATGCCGGGGACTGACCCAGAGAGCCTCTGGCCCACCAGGCAGGTGCAAAACCTGGGAGGCGTGTTTCTAGTCCTCATGATCTTGAATACAGGGTGGCCTGAAAGAGGAGGGTGATGGCTCCAAGCCCGAGGTCTATTGTGCGCATCTCTTAGGGCATCTGGTACAGTCACCTCCAGCACTTCCTTGGGCATCTTGTACAGTCACCTCCATCAATTCTGCCCCTTTTAGGGACTCTGGTCTCAGCGCAATGCCCAGTTTGACTTAGGGAGTGACCCCCCCCCCCCACTTCAGCCTGCCTTTCTGTCCTTCCCCTGGAGTACTAAGCCTGGATAGAGACAGGCAGCCCCCCCCCTCCCAAAATTCGGGGGTTCCCCCCATCAAACCAAGTGGCACCCTCTGCCGCTACAGAATGCCAAAGGGGCCAAAACGAGCCCTCAGAAGCTGCAGGCATAACCTTGCCTTCCCCTTCTTTGGTGCTGTGGGGGGTTGCTTGGATGACAGTGCCCCCGGGCCCCCACAGCTGTCCCCCCAGCTATGCAGTTTAGATCTCACTGGTTCTCGCCACTCCACCAGGGGCCCCCGTGCCCAAAACACCCAGGCACTGCCTTTAACCAGCCTCTCCGACTGGGGTGGGAACGGTGCCGGGGCGCACGGGCTCCTGCTCTGCCCAGGGAAGGGCCCAGTCCGCTCCAGCCGCAGTTCGGGTCGGGACGGAAGCCCCCCTGCCCCGCGCAGCCACACCCCCAACCTGGCCCCCTCGGCGCCCCCCCGACTCCCCACCTCCCCATTCTCCCAACTCAGACAAGAAGCACTCGGTTCTCAAAATAAAAATTTATTCCATAACAAGAACATTGAATCAGCACCTGTGCGGTGGGGGAGTTTCACATTTAAAAACAGCAGATAATCAAGCTGGGCAGAGTCTATGGTACAAGCCGCTGTTGGGAAGGCGAGCGGCCTGGCGGGAAGGAAAGGCGGCGCTCTCCCACCCTTCAAGACTCGCAGCCCAAACCCGCTGGGAACGGCGCTTGGCCGAGACACTTTTGCCAATGCCACAGCAAAACTCAGGATCCGGGGCGGGCAAGACCCCCCCCCCCCCGCACCCCAAGGATCTGAGAAGGCACCCGGGCCCGGGCCAGTGCCAAATGCGGACGATCCAGACAGCCAGAGCGCCGATTTTTCCAGCCTGCATGTATCCAGACACGAGGCGCCACCAAGACCCCCCGAAAGGCAGGTTCTGCGTGGACGGGGCACCCAGCGTCCGCAGGGCTTCCCGCCCACCTCCACTGGGGTCTAGAGGCAGGTTAAGGCAGGAGGGAATGGCGGAAAGGTGCATCCCTCTCCGTTATTTCTCAGGATGCCGTTTCAGCGCGCGGATCCCTTTTCCCTCCTCCCCAGCTGTGCCCTGAAAAAACACGCCGAAACAGCAGCCCCCCTGCCACTGGGGAAAGGGGACTCAATTAGGGGTCCCCAGGTCAGCTCCCCAAGCCAAATATAACACAAGACATCTCCAAGCAGGACCGGATGGACAGAAATCCTGCTGTTGTTTTTTTTTTAATACATTGGGAAGCCAAATTGTGAGTTGGGCCGTTTGGGGAAACAATGGGGTTTTGGAGAGCTGCTTGTCCCCACAGAACTTCTGTGTGTGTGTGTGTGTGTGGGGGGGTCATTGCTGAACACAGCAGAAGGAACGCTCTCGAGAATAGGATACCTACTTATCGGCACGCGCACCCGCGGGCAGCAAGGAATCAGTGCTCTCCCCCCATTCACGTAAACAAGGTACACGGCACGGCCACCGAACAAAATTGGGAGGGTAAAAATGGGGGGAGGAAAGGAAGAGCTGCCGAAATACAAAATACATGTACGCTTTTGGCGCCTGTCATGCCAAACAGGGGGCGAGGGAAATAGGAAACCTGCCAGAGAAAGACAGCTTTTTCCAGGGCAGAGGGGTGAGGAAGCGGCAGACGCGGAAGAAAATGCCCTTTTTTCAGCAGTGGTACGTTGCTGAAGCGGAGGAGGGTGGGGGGCCAAGTGCCCCCCCCCAGGGTGGGGTGAGATCCCAGTTTTGATTTGGAGGCTCAGGCACCTGGAAAATGAGCTGTGCACCCGCAAGAGCTGACCAGAGAACGGCTCCGAACGCCTGGCTGTAGCTAAACTCCAAGAGCCTGGGGATCGATTGAAGAGGGGGCAGGAAGGAGAGCGTTGTCTCCCCCACCCCCAAAAAGACCCCCACAGAAATGAGCTCAAAGGCACTGATTCTGCTTCCAGAAGAGACCTTCATGCTGGCACCAGATGTGAAAAGGCAGGGGGTCAAAGGTTTTGCCGATCTAATCCCGTCCAGACCTTAAGGGGAAGACCTCAGAAACGCTATAGAATAACGTTGCACATTTACGGGACTTTCACAGGCCCCACCTTGGAAGCGGCCCTTCAAAGGTGTTGGACTGCAAAGCCCATCATGCCCAGTGGCTGGGACTGATGGGCTTTTCGGTGCATTGGGAGGGTGCCGTGCCGGAGAAGGCTCTGCCCACCGGTTGCCGTGCGTGAGCAGAATTCAGAGCTCAGCGGTCAACAAAAACTGCCCCTTGCCTGTGCCATTGATTGTCTCTCCCGTTCTGCACCCCACAACCCTCGAGAAACGGAAAGTCCCATGCAAAGTATTAAGCAGCCTGGCAGCGCGGAAAGAGCGAAGCAGCGCAGCCCACAAGCAGCGCCTGCTTTTCCGGGGAGCGGCCGGCCAGCCCTGCTGAAGGGGTTCCTGTGCCCGGTGCTGCGGCGCAAGCTTCGCAAGGGCTGCTCAGGTGTTTTCCTCTGCCGCTCACCTGCTAAAGACATTGGAGGCTGCAGCAGGATCCTCCCCGGAGAGATCGAGGCATCGATCCGCTCTCAAGACTCGGGGATCGGACCCGGTGAGGGGGGAGGGAATGAGCGAGAGGGTGGAGGCCGCTGTGGCGGAGGGGAGCACACCTTTACCTGCTCCCAGGTGGCGCTGGCATCGAGCTGGAACTGGGGCGCGCGATCCCTACGGCCTCCATACAGGAAGCCCTTTGCCAAGACCGCGAACGACGGCCTTGGCACCCTCCCAAGCCTACAGGTCGCCACTAGCCAGGTTTGGGAAATCCCCTTTCCCGCTTCTCCGGCTTCAGATGTGGGGGGAAGCCCCCAGGATAGACCCCCCTCCCCAATTCAGCTTCCCACGTAATTATAGGCCGGGGACACAGGTAGCTGTCCCAAAAGAACGGCGCGCAGACGAGGCTTCCTCTCTTCGCCAGGCTCTGTAAGGCCTGAGGAACTTTGCACACCTGCTCCCTTTCCCAGCCTGGCACCCTGGCGATGCGACAGACTACACCTGCCATCATCCACAGCTGATGTTTGACACAACCGGCAGGCACAGGGCTGGTGAAGGGCTGGCAACGGAGCTACAGGAAGAGAGGAAAAGACCAGACGCCAGAGATTTGGCACAAGGCCGACCGCAGACCTCACCTTTAAACTGAGTTCTGGGGAAAGAAATCGGCCTGTGAGACCCGTTAGGCCCCCTCCAGAACGGATATGCGGCCTGCCGTGGAGAATGAAATTAAGGGCGAGCCCCTTTTTCCAGGTCAGAGAAGAGGTGCAGAGTGGTCCCTTTCCTCTAGAACAGATTGGAGTTGAGAGAGCAGGATGGCTCCTGCCCCGAAGAACCATCTGCAGAAATACAACGCGGCAGAAATACAGGTGCGTGTCCCCCATGCCTGGGGGGTGGCAGGGAGCGACACAGATGATCCCGGGGGAGACAAGAATGGGCTGAGGAACAGGAGGGGAAGATCTGAATACTTGGCAGGGTGGGCGAGATCGTCCTGGTGGGCACGGGCGGCTTCCAGAATCAACAAAAAGGAAACGAGATACGGCCATATTCTTCGGAAGGCCCACAGCTTTATTCAAGTAATGAAGGGGCGAAAACCCTATAATAAAAGGGGGGGGGGAGGAAGTTTGTTTTAAGAGAACACCCTCCATCCAAAAACCCCTCTTCCCTGCATGTGATATTTCTCCCCCAAGCTGCATTTTAAGCATCTGTTTCTCGCCCAGGTCAAAATCTTTTTGGTGCAACCGCAAAGGAGGCGAGTCAGTCCAGGACTGAACTCCAGAAGAATTAAGGCTTTGGGAGCACAGGCATCTGTCTGCCCAGCGAATCTGGGAACAGACTCTGCTCTCCCCAACCTGGTGCAGCATGCTGGGAGTTGTAGTCCAAAACATCTGGAGGGAATCGGCTTGGAAGAGGCTGCCTGCACCGCTGGGCATTCTTGGCATCGTTCCCGACTTTGGGAAATTTTGGAGGCCAATGTTGCTGTGTTGGGGGAGTAAATTTGGCACGTCTGCGGGCGACCCGCCGCTCCTACAGGCACGCTGAGAGGCACTTCACGATTCTGCTCCTCAGCCCGGGGGTGGGGGGGGGCTGCCTTGAGACCCTCAACTTGCACCCTAGGTAGGTTAAGGGAGAGCAGCGCAAACGAGTCTCGGCAAGGAGACCAGCTAGGCGAATTAAGAAGAAAAAAAAAACCAGAAATTTGGAACCACTTGCTCTTTCGGCTTTTCAAGAAGGGGTGTTCTTTTAAGACAAAGCCAAACAGAAAGCGGAGATTTGCTAGCGTTAAAAATATTTTCTTTTTTAATATGAAATTAACAAAACCCCACGCACACGTTGCGATCTTGCACTCAGGCGCACCGGGGGGGCTGGGGGAGAGACCGTGAGATCAGCCACCTCAAAACCTACATGCAACAGAAACAGTAAAAATAACAAACATGTAAAAAAACTAACGAATAAAGTGCATGTTTCAATATATATTACATCTGTCCCATTTGAAAAACCCGACAAGGCTGCGGAAAGACGGCCAGTCCTTCGCGGGAGCCGGGGAAGGCGGGCGCCGGCTCACATCGTGTTGTACAGAGGGTTGGACGAGCGTCTCCGGTCGGTTGCCTTTTTCAGTCTTCTGGGCGGTCGAGTTCTAGCGTGCTGATGCCGAGGGAGGACAGCCGGGCGCTGGGCCGGGCCGGGCAGCGCCAGCCCGAGTGGCCCCCCGGCGTGGGAGTTAGTCAATTTCGCCCCCGCGAGCGGCCGGCCGGGGTTGAGCTCTTTGGCATACTGCGCCGGCGGCCGCTCCACGGGCCGGCTCAGGGCCAGGCACTCGGTCAGCCTGAGCGGCTCCACCAGGTGGGCCGTGGGCCGTGGCGCCCCCCGCGAGGCGGGCGCCGGGAGGGCAGGGCCCGGGGCAGCCGGGCACCCCCAGCCGGGCTCGTGGGGACCGGGCACAGGCCCGTGTGCGGGGCGGGCCAAGTCGTCCTTCGACAGGTCCAGGCGGTCCAGCTTGGCCAGGGACGCCGAGCGCTTCATCAGGGAAGGCGTGGTGAGCCCCGCCTGGCGGATCCGGGCCTCCAGCTCCTCCGCACGCTGCTTCACCAGGCCGCCCCCCCTCCGCACCTCTCGGAGGCTGTCGCTGCCGGACCTCTGGAGCAGGCCGCGGCGAAGCGGAGGGCGGCCCAGGCCCCGCTCGGCCGGCCCGTCCAAGGCCCCCGGGCTCCAGGCGGGCAGGGCACCCTCGCTCTTCCGGCGGAGGTCCAGGGCAAGCTGCCTGTGGCCGGCGGAACCCGCCCGAGGGGGGGGCTCCGGGTCCGTGCACGTCGCGTCCCGCGTGACCCCCTCCAGGCACACAAGGCGCAGGCGGTCTGGGTGCAGCAGTGCCCCACACCACGGCCGGCCTGCGGGAGGGGAGATGGCGGGATGGGCCACGGCCCCAGCCGCCTCCGCCGCTGCCTCCTCCTCCTCCTCCTCCTCCTCCTCAGGGCTGCCCAAAGAGAAGGCCGCTCTCTCAGAGCTCCCGCCGTCCGGCGCCAACGTCCCCTCGGGGCTCTCGGGGCACAAAGGTGCGTTGCAATTCTCGTCCACACGGAGCCCGGCTGCCGGCCGGCCGGCCCTCTCCACCGCCCCGGGCAACCGGGCCACAGGCGTGTACTCGATGATCTCGATGCGCCTGGGGAGCAGGAGGCGGCACGGGGCGGAGACCCTCTCCTGGCTGTCCAGCGACACGACCGTGCGGTGCTCCGTGGCCTCCTCCTCCTCGGGCCCGGCCAGCGGGAGGGAGAGCGGCGAGGCGGGCGGCGAGGCCGGGGGCGGCCTGGGGCCCGGCTCGGCCTCCCAGCCGCCGGGCGGCTCCCGGGGGGCCTCCTTGGCCCGGCCCTTCGCGGGCGGCTCGGCCTCGTTCCGGGGGCTCTTGCGCAGGGGCAAGGCCGCCGCGGGGACGGCGTACTGCAGCTCGTGCTCCTGCCGCAGGCGCTCCTCGAACTCCAGGGTGGCCCGCCGGACGGAGCCCGGGCACCACTTTGGCCCGGGGTTCCGGCAGCCCTCCGCCGGGTCTTCGCCCAAATCGGTGGCCTCCTCCACCGCTGGCTTGCAGGGGGGCGCCGGGGCGGCCCACGCGCCCTCCGGATCCGAGCCTGCCTCCTGGGCTGCCTCCTCTGGGGCCGGGCCAGCGCCTTCTCCCTGCTCGGCTTTTCCAGACTTATTCTCCCGGGTCGGGGTGGCCTCCCCAGAAAGGTCGTGGAGGGCCGTCCTCTTCGGCGTCGGCACCGAGTTGCCGAGGCCGTCCATCTTCGCCTGCCCCGGCCCCCCTCCCTGGTGGATCGATTCGATCTCCGTGACGATTTCTTTCACCGAGAGGGCGTTTTCCGAGTGGGAGCGGGTCAGGCCACTCGAATGGGTCAGTTCGGAGACCTTAAAGAGGAGCAGAGAGAAAATCAGGGGGCTTTGGACAAGTCTCAGCACTGCATGTTAAAGATGAGTCGTTAGCGCTTAGCAGGCTGAGTTTCGGGAGCGTGGCTGGATGGGCCGAAGATTCTGGTAACTTTGCGAGGGACACGAAAGGCCAACTTGAAGGCTGAGATGAAAAGGCCTTACTGAAAATGGGGAAAGGCCTGGCCCCAAGGAGCCCCGCACAGTCTAAGCGACGGGAACAGCGTGTCATGAAAAAACGGCCACGGACGGAAGGGCCAGACAAGCCGCGAGGCAGGAGACGGCCCCCGGCTCTTGGCCGACTGGGAAAGCCAGCGGCCTCCCGCCAAACGGACCGGCGGCCTTGCCGTTTCCACGCCGGGGCCTGAGCAAAGGGCCCCCGGATGCCGCCGGCGGGTGGAGGGGGGACGGCGAGGCCGCCCCCTCCTTGGCCAGCGCACTCGCTCCCCTGGGAAGGATCCCCCTGGGAAGGATCCCCCGTCCTCCTTGGCCAGCGAAATGGCACGTCAGGCGGAGCGGCTGTTGCAGGAACCCAACACGTTCGCGGGAGACTTGCGTGTCCCCGAGGGTGGGGTGCCCCAAAGCGGGGGACGCACTTGTGGTGCGGGGTTTTGAGCACGGAAGGGGAGTGCGCGCTTCTGGCCGCCATGTGCCTTTTCAAACAATGCTGCCTCCCGGCACAACGCCAGGTCACAGAAGCCCCAGGGGTGGCGATCCGGGGCAGCCGTGGGTCAGGTGGCAGCGTGCGCACACGCCAGCGAGCGGCAAGCGGGCGGGGCCGCCCATCTTAGCCCGGGGCCCATCATCCCCCATCCGTTCCCGGGAACGCCCCGGCCCTCCCTCCCTCCCTCCCCGCACGGGCCCGCGCCACCCACCTTCAGCTGCTCCTCCTCCGGGGAGGACCCCTCCGAGGCCTGCGGGGAGCTGCTGGCGGAGGTGCTGGGCGGGCCCTCCTCGGGGGGCTCGGCGGGCGACAGCTCCAGCGGGGGCCCCTTGGGCGGCCCGTTCCGCCCGCCCCCCTGGCTCTCCGACCGGGCGTGGGCGCAGCCGCGGGAGCCGCCCTCCTGCGAAAGCTCCACGAACTTGCCCAGGGCGCTGAAGAAGTCGATCCGGTCGGTGCCGGGCTCGGCCTCCCCGGGGGGCGGCGGGCTGGGGGACCGCCGGCCGGGGGCGCCCCGCGGCGCAGGCTGCAGCTCCTCCAGGGGCAGCAGGCGGACGCCGACGCCGCTGTCGCCTGGCCGGAGCGCGTCGTCCTCCACATCCTGCACGGCCAGCTCCGGGAAGCCCCCCGCCGCCGGCCGGTGCAGCAGGGCCCCCACGGGGGGGCGGTTGTCGAGCCGACACGCCGCGCCCGCCGGGCAGCACCCGTCGAGGCTGTTCAGGTTCAGCCGGTCCTCCTCCTGCTCGGGGCAGAGGCCCTGCGGGGCCCCGTCGGCCGGGCTCGCCCGCCCCCTGGCGCAGGGGTCGGGGTCGGGGCCCGGGCGGCAGAGGGGCTCCGGGGGCCCCCCAGCTGGGGGCCCGGGCGACACGGGCGGGTGGTGGCCGAGGGAAGGCTTGTTCTCCGAGATCCGGTCGGCCGAGGTGGTGATCTCCTTGCGGCTGACCTCCATGCCGGACTGGCCCAGGGGCTCGTGGTGGTCCGAGAGGTCGCTGTCCGAGTGCGACCGCCAGAGCTTGTTGTGGCGCTGCTTGCTGCGCGGGCGAGAGAACAGAGCGCGGGCGTGAGGACGCGGGCGGGCGTGCGTGGCGGGTGCCGCCCTCACCCCCCCCCCGTCGCGGCCGGAAAGGCCCCCCAGAGCGGCTTGCAAGCGGGAGGAACGGGGCGGCCCCTGCGTTCGGGAGCGCGGGGTGACGGGCACGGCATGAAAGGAGCCTGGACGTGGCGGGAAGAGGGGAAAAACAGACGCCGGGGTCTTCTGGGTGTTCTCTCTGGCAGGGAGGGGGGCGAAGCAGCCCCCTGCGACCCACCCGCTCCCAGGTCCCCCTCGCGTCCACGCCGCGTGGTCTCTTTCTGCCTGGGAATCGCCCAGGAGTGGGGCCCGCGAGGACGGCCGGGGGAGCGGAACGTGGGGCCTGGGTTGGGGTTGGGGGGCAAAGGCTCTGGGAAGGGGGCTCCGTAGCTGCGGCACTTTCACCAGCTGGGGGCGTCCTTTTGCTGGACGGGCTGCTTGCAGAGCAGCTGTGGGACGGGGGGGCAACCCCCGGGAAGGGTCCAAAAACACCGAGCCATGCAACTGCTGGCACGGAGGGTGGGAAAGCCCCCCCCGCTGGCTGGTGTTTGAGCGAGGGGGGGCCTGCATCAGTCAGTGCCCCTCCTGGCCCCACAGAGCACTTCCCCACTCCCGCCCCCAGGGGGAGCCCGAGTGCCACGCAAGCGCCACCGCCGGAAGGCACGGGAGGCCAACAGGGGCTTCTCCCCTCCGCCTGGCCCAGCCGGGGAGACCCCAAAGTGGGGGGGAAGCCCTGGGCGGGGGGAGAGCAAGCCAGGGCAACCTGGCCTCCCTCGAGCCCCTGGGCGGCAGAAGGTGCCCAGGCTTCTCCGCCCAAACTTCTTGGAAAAGGTGGCTGTGAAGGGGGAAAAGGGGTACAGAACCCCCGGGGGGGGGGCACTATTACGGCAAAGGCATCGGGTGGCTATTCGCGCTCCCCTTTATCCGCCTGGTCCACCTTTCGGGAGAGCCCTAAATCCTATCGCTGCACCCGAAGACTTCCAAGATCGAAGGCGCGGCTCTGGCTCTCCTCACCTCCCCGAGGCCAAGCTGGCTTCAGAGGGACGGGGACCCGGAGCCGCAGGAAGGATGCCCCCCCCCAGACATCCCCCTCGGGGGCCCCCCCGGGCCTTTCCACGCGAGGCGGCGGATGTTTTATCATGTGGGATTCTGCACACGTAATTGTATTTATGGCTGTTGTGCTTTGCCCAGGAAGCAACCCGGCTGGGGGCTGCTTCACGTGTCCACCGCCCTCCCCGTGCTGTTCCCCCCCCCCGGGCCAAGATTTTTGGGCAGCGGGCTGCTGGGGGGGGGGCGGCACTGTCTGGTTATTAACCCTTGCGAGCAACTCTGCAGAGGCTGGAGAGCGGGGCAAGAACAGGAAGAAAAATGCGCAAGGGAGAAACGCCGAGAGCTGTGGGCGCGGATGGAGGCCCCGGGGGCGCCTCCTGGGGGGCCTCCAAGCGGCCGAAACGAGCCCCCGCCTGCGCGATCCGCGGCTCGGCTGCCCAGAAGCACCGGTCTGAGGAGACGCCAGGAAAGCAGGACGGGGGAAAGGGAATGCGAAGGCAGAGCTCTGGCCGGGGGAGGCGCTGCCCAACCTTTACGAAGGTGTAACGTGATCGTCTCCCCCCCCAACGCGCTGCCAGCTGGCCCCGAAACCGCAAGCGCCCATCACATGAAGGTGAATCAGCGTCTTATGGGCCGGGCGGTAAACAAAGCCACGGGAAGGAAGGTTCAACGTTTAGCCGAGCCACCCGGGGGGAGGAGGAGGAGGAGGAAGAGGAGGAGGAGGGCCGGGGAGAGGAAACCTGGCGAGGGGCCGGCTAGCCGACTCTCCGGGCCGTTTCCCCTTCTTACGGCGGCCCCCCTCGAGCTGCATCTTTGGAGAGAGGGGCTTGCATTCGCCAGTCGGGTGGCGTGCGAAGGGCACGAGGAAGGCTCTCTCGGCCCAAAGGGGGGACGCGGGAAGGGGACAAACTCGGCAGGCAGGGGCCGGGACTGGGTAGCCCCTCTTCCTGCGTGGGGCCCACGGGCCTCCGGAGGCGGTGGACCTTCCCTGGGCCGCCCCGGTCCAGCAGGGCATTCCCTGTGGGCTTCGCTTTCCCCGGGGACGTGCCATCAGCAGCCCGAGGAAGCTCACGCCGGGCGGGGGGGCCCCGGCCAGCCTTCCGCGGCTGTGGCCACAACACCCCCAGCCCTCGGCCAGCCACTGGCACCGAGCAGGTGCTTTCTAACGGCCCGACATCCGAGCCGGGCCACCGGGCAGCCACGCGGCGGTCGGGAGGGCTTCCGCTGGCAGAACACAGAGTCTCCCTCTCCCCCACCCCGGCCCCCCGAGATCACGTGCGGGACTGTCTGCATAGGGCACGGTTCTGGGGCTGGCGGGGGTCGGGCAGAAGGCACAAACGCGACACAAACACGCCCGGCGCGTTGCGACGTCGCCTTTTCTGGCTCAGCTGGCAGGGCCTCGTGTTACAAAAACAGCCGCGTGGGTTTCGCAGAAGGGAAACGGGGGGGGGGGGTGCACGGGGGGGCCGTGGCGGCCCACCTCCCCACCCCGCTGGGATCTCGCAAACTCCAAAGACAAATTCGAAATGTGCCCGGGGGAGGGGGGCGGGGGCACCACCCTTTGGGTTGGCTCCATGCAGCGCGGCTCAGGCCGGCGTTCACCAGGAGATGCTGACCGGAGGCCGACGGGCCCTGCCCCCCAACAGATCTGGGGAGCACTGGCTCGGGGCGGCCTGCCCTTGGCATCTCCGGGACGAAGGCCGCTGGAGCCGCCGTGCCCGCAACCGCGCAGGGGAGAGCGGCCTGCACCCAGCGCAGCGGCCTGGCGGGGGTGGCCGGGGGCCTCCTTGCTGAGCCCGCCGATCAGGCGAGGCTGGGGGGACCCGCGCCCCCCGCGCCCGGCCTCGGGCGCCCTCCCTGGTCGACACCGAAGGCCCCGCCGGCCGAGCGAGGGGCCGCGGGAGCCACGCCTGCGTGCGGGGGCCCGGGGGCCCCGAGCGACGCCTGCGGGGGGGGGGGGCGGCCGAGGGGCGCACCTGGCGAGCAGGATGCCCTGGTACTCCTCCAGCTGGCGCATGAAGCTGGGGTTGGGCTTGGCGACGCTGCGGCGCTGCTTGACGTAGTCGTAGGCCCGGTCCAGGGTCCAGCCGTACTCCTTCATGGCGTACGCGATCACCGTGGAGGCCGAGCGGCTGACGCCCATCTTGCAGTGCACCAGGCACTTGGAGCCGTTCTTCCTGCGGGGGCAGGCGCGGGTGAGGCGGTGCGCGGGCGGCCCCGCGGCTGGGGCGCCCCCTACCGGGATCCCGTGGGCAGCCCCGGGCCCCGCATCTCCTGGAGGAGGCCGCTGTGCCGCCCCAAAAGGCAGCTGCTGCGGCCTGGGGGGCTTTTCCCCGGGGAAGGGAGGGCGGGGACCCGCAACCTGGGGCGCTACCACACACGGCAAATCGGCCTGTAGGGTGTGGCGTGCAGGTGTGTCTCTCCCCGAAGAGACACGGCCACGCTCGCTCTCCCCGTCCACTGTCTCGCGGCAGTATAGGAGTAAACGCCAGGGAAGCTTGGGGGCTGGCGAAGCAGAGGCCTTGCCTTCGCCCCCTCAGGCCCTGGCGAGGCACTCTGGGCCGCATCGCCCCGGCCACGGGACAGAAGCGTGTCCCGCAAGGTCCGGCCTGCGCCCCTTTCTCGCTCTTCAGGCCCAGGACGAGGCGGAGCCCTCTGGGAGGGGTGGCTGGCCGGGAGTCCGGCACGGAGCAGGGGACTGGGCCCCGTGGCCCCCCTGCTGGTGAAGCCCTCGCGTCCGAGGAAGACACGCAGGCGCCACGAGCTGCTCTTTATCTGTTCCCGAGCCGCACACGGGCGCGCTGAAATCCGCACAACGCCGTGTGGAGAGCAGCCGCAGCCGCACCTGCGCACGCGGGGCAGGCCGGACCCCCAGGACCGCTGCGGGCGGGTGGGCGGGCGGCGGAGGCACGCCCAGGCCCGGTGGCCCTCCCAGCCGTCACAGACGCGGCGAGAGAACCGCAGCCGAGACGCCGGAAGCGGGCCTGGGAACGGCCGGGCGCTTCCCTTTGCCTGGCGGCTCCGGCCTCCAGCACACTTCCCGCTGTGGTTCGGGCAGCGTGGCTCCGCTGACCGGCCCGGCCTGTCGGGGAGCCCGGGGGCTGCACGCGCGAATGCACACATGCGCTCCCGCGCCGAGAGTCGGCGTCCCCGCGTGGGCACCGCGTGGGCGTCTCGGCGTCTCCTGGGCGCCTGCCAGGTGACTGTCGGCCTGTTGAGAGACGGGACTTGCTTTGCTTTGGAGATGAACTTGTAGGTGTCGTTCCAGTAAGCCAGCAGGTCCGTCGCCTCCTCGTCATACACCCGGATGTTGTGGTATTCGAACGTCCCTGGGAAGAAGTTGTCGATCTCTCGGGTGACGTTCAGAATGTACCGCACTCTGTGGGAAATCAGGAGAGGGGATTTTGCCGGCAGGAAGCGGAGGAAGAGACCTGAAGGGGACGGGACGAGGGCCTCTGCCCCCTCGGCCTCCCAGATCTCTGAGCACATGGAAGAGCACAAATCTGGGACCGCTTCCGTGTGGGTCTCAGACCCGGACACAGGTGGTGTCGTGGTGCCGAGCGCGGGACTGGGACGGCAGAGATCCGGGTTCGAGTCCCCGCTCAGCCAGGGAGCCATCTGGGGGACTCTGGGCTAGGCACAGACCCCAGGCCCGGCCGACCTCACAGGGTTGTTGTGGGGACGAGACAGAGAGCAGCAGGGGGAGAGGGCTGGCAGCTGCTTCGAGTTCTTTGTGAACAGGATATAAATCAAAGAAACGGACAAGCTGCCCCCACACGCCTCAAGCTGAGCTTCGGCTGATTCTTTTGCAAGAGGCGACCGGAGGACAGAAGTCCAGCTGCCAGGCGGTGTTTTGGGGCGCGCAGATTTTCCCGGCAGCTGCGAGTCCAACCAAAGCGGGCCTGTCCTGCTCGTCTCGCATCGGGCCGTCAGGCCATTTCCTGCGTCTGCCGAAGGGGCAGAGCAAAAACCGGGGCGGGGGCTCCCTTGCCCCCCCCACGGAGCAATGCGAAAGCAAGCCAAGCGGCGGGCCGCCAACAGCCGCGCTCTCCGGCCCGCCCCAGCCGCTGCAGGCCGCCCGTGCCCGGGGGGGGGCAGGTGGGCCCCGCAGGAGCTGGGCTGGAGCGCCGGTCAGGCCAGCGCGAGGCGAGGCGAGGCCGAAGGTCCCTCCGCAGGGCTTCCGCGAGCCGGCTTACCCGCGGTTCTGCAGGTCTTCCAGGTTGGAGGCGTTCCACTCCGAGCCCTGCACACGGGAGGAAAGGCGAACGGCTCGCGTCAGCCGGGCGGGCAGAGGGGGAAGCTCCTCGGCCGCCCAGCCAGCGACCCCCGGAGGCCAGACTGCCGTCCGCATCCTTCCTTCCCAGGCGCCAGGCCGGGCCAGGCCACGCCACGGAGGCCGCGCGCATCGGTCGCTCCCTCTCGGCCAGCCCGGCTCACGGGGCTGCGGCTGCGGGCGCAGGAGGCCGTCTGCCCCGCTGGGTCCCCAGTTCCCTGGTCCTCTGTCCCCGTGCTGCCCTCCCAAACCCGAGACTAAAGCCGGGACTGACGGAATCCCGGCCAGACCCGGCCCAAAGGTCTCCGGGAGGCTGTGGACCCCCTCACCGGGAGGAGAGCGGAAGCGGGAGGGGGCAACGAGCCCCTGGCTGCTGCCCGGCCGCCTCTCCTCCTCTGCAGCACGGGGCCACCGGAGGAAGAGCAGCCAAAGCAGAGTCCCGCTCGCTCGCTCGCTCCGAATCGGGGGCGCGACACGCCAGCCCCTTTCCCAGAGCAGCCGCTGTTTGGGGCAGTGCCTCCCACTTCGGAGGGGCCGCAGAGCCTCTCCCCCTTTGCCCCGCAAGGGTCTCCGACAAGGATCGCGGCCCGGGGGCAGGAGGGGAGCCCGTCCCGGGCCCGAGAGAGCCGGCCGGGGTCGCTCCGCCACAAGCAGGTGGCCCACGGGAGGCGACAGGGGCTGCCGGGGGCTTGGCCAGCGCTGCCTCGCGGGGCTGGATCGGCTGGCGGCCAGAGGAGGACCGAGGGGAAGCCGAACCGGGTCGCTCGGAGGAGGAGGAGGAGGAGAGCAGCGAGGGGGCGCCGTGGATGCTTCCTCCTTGGCGGGCCAGCGCTTCCCAGGCGCCGTCGAGGCACGGGTTCGGCCGGAGGGGCCGCCGGGACGTACCAGGAAGACGTGGTCGAAGATCTGGGTGGGGCTGTCCATCTGGCCCAGGATGACGATCATCTTGTTGTCGATGAACTCCTTGAACTCCCGCAGGCTGCAAGCCATCTGCACCTCCAGCTCTGTCCGGATCTGGCGGAGAAAGGACCGTGTGCGGGGGGGGCTCGACCGCGAGCCCCGCTGCGCCCCCGCAGCCCCCCACGATGCCGAAACTCTCCAGCCAACGTCCCCTGTGGGCGCCACCTGCTTTAGCCCCGGGTTCTCACTGCAGTAAGGGCTCGGCCGAGGCAGTGAGACGGGGAAAGGGGGTGGCCGGCCCCCCACGTGGGTGCCCCCCGGCTGGCGGGCCCGACGTCCCCACGCTACCCGGGGAGGCAGCTGCAGGGGCGGCCGTGCCCCGGGCCACGCCGAGGCCGAGCGTGGGGCGAGGGCTCCGCGGGTCCCCGGCCACGAGGGCTGCGCAGGCCCCGCCGGGGGGGGAAGAGGCTTTGCGGGCGCTCACTTCCTTGGAGGTGATATTCTCCAGGTCCTTCTGCATCATGATCTCCCGCAGCTTGGTCTTGATCAGCCGCTCCGTGCGCTCGCGTTCCGTGGGGCTGGACGGGAGAGCGGCCACGTTGGAGGGGCGATCGGTGGGCGCCCAGCGGACGTGCCCCCCATAGATCAGAGCCCCCCCATATATACCACACCAGTCCCCAGGTATCTTCAACCACCCCACTGCAAGTTCGGCTAGGCAGAGAGAGTGGGCACACTGCCCCCGCCACTTTTATCTTCCACAACCCCCCTGCAAGGTAGGCTAGGTGGGGGAGGGAGGGAGGGAGGGAGGGAGGGGGAGTCCTCGCGCCAGCCCCCCCCCCTGCAATCCCTGCAGCGTGCCGGCTCGCATGGAATCCGTCCTGCCGGGGCCCCGGCTCTGCCAGGGCTGGGGGAGAGCGGAAGACCCGGAGGTCACCCTCGCCTGCCCTACCCTTCCTGGCAAGGTGGTGGGCTCCAGGCCTCCTTATATGGCAAACTGGCCCAGGCGGCCCCCCGCTCACGCCCCCCACCTTATCGCCGGCTGCAAAAATAGCCGGTGCTAATCAGCAAGGCGCCCCCCGCCCCCACCGCCAGCGGCTGCAGCGTTCCCGGGCCGTGAGGCTGTGGCGGCGCTTCCCCCACCGCACGTGGGCAGACGCTCAGCGCCGGCTGCACCCGCCGGGACCGGGCCTCGGGGAGCCGGCGAAGCCGGGGAGTTGGCCCTGGAGGACCGAGCTGGGCTGGAACGGCTCGGACCAGCAGCGGCCGGGAACCGTGGCCAGACGCCTCCCGAGGGCGTCCCGCCGCAGGACGCCTGCGCCAAAGAGTGCCCAGAAGGGAGCAGGCGCTCCCCGCTCCTCCCTCCTTTCTGGCCCCAAGCAAGGAGTTGACGTGGCGAGCAAGCACCACGGCTGCCTCTGCAGGGCCGGCCGGCCCCCGCCCCACATCAGCAGGGGCGGAGAGGCCCTGGGGGCAGGCAGAGGGCCCCAGGTTTTGGCCCAAGCGCACGTGTAGGGCCAGGCGTCTCCCACCCCGGCCGTCCTGAGCCCGCTTCCCTCCCATCATCGCCAGCCTGCACCCGTTCACAGCTTGGGAATCCCGGGGGGCGCGCAGCGTGGGGGCCGGGCCTGCGGCGCTGGGTGCTCAGAGAGGGGCCGGGCCGGAGGGCGAGAGGTGGGGAGGGGCGGCCCCGGCGCGACTCACACGTCGGTGAAGAGGGCAGGCGAGTCCGGCCGGTGGGACTGGACATCTTGCATGGCGTTCCATTCGTTGACCGAGGCCTGGTCCGAGTTGATGTGGCTCTCGTAGTAGCTGACCCAGGTGAGGAAGAGGCTGCTGGGGTAGTAGTTGTGGATCCGAGCCACCTCGCACGCCTTGTGGAGGCTCTGCAGGGCGGACCTGCGGGCCGGAGGGGGAGAGGCGCGTGGGCGGCCATTTCTCGCTTCCTGCCTCGCACGGCAGGGATGCAAGGGACACGGAGCCAGGCCGCCGTGCTCGCCCTTGCGAGCATTTCGCCATTATTCCACAGTCCCTGCAAATGAACCCTACTGTTCTCTCTCTCTGTGTGTAAAAATGCCTCCTGGGTGAGTGCGTGAAAATGATTTTTCTCACACACACTCTCAGAGCTTCCGACGAATGCACCTGGAAAGCACGCTAGCTAAAATCAGCAATCCTTAAAAAGGAAAAAAACTACTTTAGGAAAAGCAATAAAAAAATGCAGCTGGTTGAAATCAGCCGGTTTTCTGCTTCGGTCTGGAAGGGAGCAGACAGACGCATCTTTGCACCCCGAGCCCTCTTGCCTCACGGCCCGAGGTGAAGACCTGTCCATCTCCTTTCCGGACTGAAACAGAAAACATGTTTATTCCACCCGGCCGTGTTTTCAGCTGGCCTGCCAAAGCCAGTCCTAAAAGCCTGGGGGGGTTATGGAGGTCAAAGCGTGGCCTTTTGGCCTGGCACCGTTTCCTAGCTCAATCCACCTTGTGAGGCTAAAGCTAGGGTGCCAGGGAGGAAAGCGACATCTGTGACTACAGCCCTGAATTCCTGGGAGGGGAGACCTAGATAAAAATGCAAGCCAAACACTGAAACTGGAATCGTATTTTAAGAAGCCAAATGCAGGAAGGCTGCTTCTTAACACGCGGCCCTTTTATCACGGAGTCCAAACGGACCACCTCCCCATCCAGCTTGCCGAAGCTGCCTTTGAGAACCGCTTGCCAAGCGATCCGTTATTAAACAAGGCCTACGCAGAAACAGCAGGCATTTATTTTATAAATATTTGCACTGAGCCCTAGCTGCTCCGGCACTTGGTGTTTTCTCGCTCGCTCCGTCACAGCTTTAACAACCTTTAAAAACAAACATTTATTTTGTGTGAAGGCAGAACGTAAATAAACAAACCGCCGTTTAATTTCTCCATTCGAAAATGTCTAGACTGGCCCTATTGGGAGGGGATCCCGGCCTGGATGACGTACTCCCAGCTGGGTCCCACGCGGCAGAAAAACCCAGGGCAAAGGTGGTGCTGGAAAAGCAGCGAGGGACGCCAGCGGGAAAAGCCCTCCCCCGCGGGAGCAAAAGAGCCAAGCCGCCGAGGTGGCGAGCAGGAGCAGCTTGATGCACCGCATTAGGACGAGGCTGGGGGTCGCCCGGGGGGCCGTCCGGACGGTTTGGCACGTGGGGCAGCCGCTGCACGGAAAGCGCCCGGGAGACCTGCCCGCTCGACGGCGGGCGACAGCCGTTTCAGAGCGTGCCGGTTCCCCCGCTTGCTCCGGGCGGATCCCGAGCGGCCGTGGCCTCGGCAGCCCATGCGCGCCGAAGAGGAGCGCGTCCTCTTTAAAAAGGCAACACGGGCAGAGACACTTTCTAAGAAAGTCACGCAGGGCCTCCGGCCCTATTTTCGGCCGCGCGCTATCTTTGGCAGTGGCCGAGGGCAGCTCGCTCGCAAGCTCACCGGCGCTCAGATCTCAACCGGTGGTGACACCGTTTGGGAGCATGAGAGGAACCTGTGAGTCACCGAGTGCCCGGGCGGGGGGGAATGGGCACCCCCCCCCCCGACACAGGCTGCCCGAAAAAGGAAAGGGGAGATGCGGCCGGCCGAGGAGCCACGCCATCCGTATCTGATGACCCGTCTGCTCCTGGCATGCGCAGAGAGAGGCCCGCTCGCACAGCCGGGTGGCCCTGCGTGAGGGCCATGGGGTGGGTCCGGCGGCCATAGAAGTGGAGCTTCACGAGAGGCGAAGCCCAGTGCTAGACTTCGCACTGGCCGGGCCTTTCGTGTTTTGGGGGATTTGTGCCAGACGGGGTGAGTCCCAGGATGCAACAGCTGGGAAGAGCCTCCAGAGTCAAGCGCACTGTATCTCTGAGCACAAAGGCCGTGAGCAAATCAGAAGGAAGGCTTCTCCTTTCGAGGCAGACGCTCCCCAGAAGCAGGAGGCGGAAGGGTGGGTCGGACGCGGCTTTTAGCAGAGCCAGCAAAGGCTTCGTACGTAGCTGTATCAAGAGCGGCACTTACCACATGGCCTGCACAGACACGGGCTTGAATATGTGGATGCGGTTGTCGGTCGAGACGCTGAAGCCCCTGAGAGGAGGAGAAAGGGGGCCATTTTCGGCAGGGCCGGGCCAGCTGGTTGGCGCCCCCCGCCGGCTGCCCCACGGGGGGCTGTGGGGCACGCGTGGGCCTGGCCCAGGAAGGCCTCTTACCCATCGCCGTCCAGATGGATGAGGGCGTCGCTCCAGAGCGGCAGGACGAGTCCCATCGTGCAGATGCTGCTGCGAAGACCAGAGAGGCACCCACTGCAGCGCTCCCGTCGGGCCGGGGCCCCCTGAGAAAGGCCCCCCGTGCCGCGGCCCCCGCCACCCCGAGAGGAATCCCCCGCGGGCAAGCGCAGCTTCCAACGGATGGGCTGGCCTCGGTTGCTCTGTGGCGATCGCAGGCGATCTGCTCTTGCCCATTTTGCCGCTGCCCTTGCGAGTGCGACCCGAGGAGTGGTGGGGGTGCTCGGGGGGCCCCCGGGCCCCCAAAGCTCCCTGCCCTGCCGCCACCCCCACCGCAGCACGGTCTGGTGTGAGCCGGGTGCGCAGGCGTGTTTCAGAGCGGACAGGGCTCCGTGGGGGTTCACGGGGGCGGCTTCCCACAGACCGGCAGGCAGCCCGGAAGGGACCACGCTGGGCGTTTCCGGGCAGGTGTGCGAGGTGACGCACCTGTATCGGGCTGCTCGTGGCTGGTACTGTTTACTCACACGCCTATCGCGTCCGGAAGCGGCTGCCAGCAAGGGGGCTGCTTCCCCGTGGCCGAGCCGCTCCCTGAGGAACGGAGGGCGAGGAGCAGCGGGGGCCGCTTGCCCACCCCTCAGCGGCCCCGCGGCAGTTCCTGGCCCTGCCCGGCTCACCTGGGCACGCAGCTGGATGCGCCGGCCGACGGGCGAGTGCGCCTGTGCCGGGTGGCCACGCTGCCTCGGCTCGGCCCCAGCCTGGGAGAGGCCGTTGCCGGCCCACGACGGGGGGCTCCGTCCAGTGTCCCCCCAAAATGGTTTCTGGCAGTTGGAATGACTCAGGAAGGAACTGGGCAGCCACTGGAGTGGGGTGGGGTGACGTGGGGTTCTGCAGCAGCGGGGGGTGGACTCGGTGGCCTTCGTGGCCCCTTCCGACTCGTCTATGCTCTGATTCTATGGAGCTGTGTATCCTGGGACTTCGTGCTGTTATTATTGCCTTTCTGTACGTGCTCTTGTCCCCTTGCAAGGAGCCCAAAGCAGCTCAGGCAAACCTCCGCTCTGTTCGGAGAGCCAGCCTGGGGTGAAGTGGTAAAGAACGTGGGACGGGGACTCAGGAGATCCGGGTTCGAGTCCCTGCGCAGCCACGGAACCAGCTGGGGGACTCTGTGCCAGGCACAGGTCCTCAGCCCAGCCTACCTCACAGGGTCGTTGTTGTGCGGTTGAGAGCAGCAGGAAGGGAAGGATGGGAGTTCTTTGTAAGGGGGGGAAAAAGCGGGATATAAATCTAATAAATAAATACCATCCTCGCGACAACCCTGCCAGGTAGGCCAGGCGGAGAGGCCGTGACTGCCCTCAAGGCACCCACTGGACTTCCAGACTGAGTGGGGACTCAGACCCAGACTTTCTGCGTTCCAGTTGCAGTCCAGTAACCACTGCCCCACACTGCCCCTGCAAGCAGGGCGCGAGGCTTGTGCAGGGGGAGGTGTGGCCCAGCGGGACCTTTGCCGCCATCCAGGAAAGGCCGGGCCCTGACGCGCAGCCCGGCACGACGATTTCGGAGCCGGCTCCTGCAGGGCACTTTCCCGTGCGGAAGCTCCCGGAGGGGCGCGGGCCGGACGGCGGGTGGCTCTGCAGACTCCTGGCGAGCGCGCGAGCGAGTGCGCGCAGCGGGGGGTGCAGAGCGAAAGGGCACCTCTGAAGTGCCTCCCGAGGGAGTGGAGATATTTTTAGAGCCGCTCCGCACTCGCCTCCTCCGTCGCGGCCCCAGCAACAAGGCTAAATCGGGCTCGCGAGGCCGGAGCCGCTCGGGGCAAAGGGTTCAATGTCTGAGCGAGCGGCGGGAAGCCGGCAGGGCCTGGGAGCCGGGCAGCAGGCCTCCCCGGCCCGGCCCACACGGGACCATCCTTCCTGCCCCTGCTAAACTCATCCCAACCGCCAGCACCACGCCAGGCCCCTCGCTTTCCTAACCCTGGTGCACACCCCTAACCCTACTCCAGGGCTAAACTTCCATCTACCTCATAGAACAGCAGAGTTGGAAGGGGCCCTGAAGGTTGCAGGACGCCACGTCGCACCACCCCACTCAGAGGCTGCCCTGTTCCTTTCTGAGTGGCTCCAGGGTGGGAGAGCCCCCCACCTCTCCAGGCAGCTGGTCCCACTGCCCTATTGCTCTGACCGTGAGGAAGCTTCTCCTGACGCCCAGCCTGAATCTGGGCTGTCGCAACTTGACTGGGTTATTCCGTGTCCTGCACTCTGGCATTTGCAAGAAGAGATCTTGACCTTCCTCTTTGTGAGAGCCTTCAAGATCCTTATAAAGGGATATCGTGCCCCCCTCAGTCTTCTCTTCTCAAGGCTAAACATGCCCATTTCTCCCAGTCTCTCCTCACAGGGCAGCGTTTCCAAACCCTGGGTCATTTTTGCTGCCCTCCACTGGACCCTTTCTAATTTCCCTGCATCTTTCTTCAATCTTGGCGCCCAGAATGGGACACGGTATTCTACCCACGGCGGAGGGGAAGGGGCTGCTGGGACCCCGGAATGCTGCAAGGCCAGGAAAATGGCCTTGTGGGAAAACGGAGCAGCCCCGATCACTGCGAAGCGGCTCCCCCTCGCTGCAACGTGTCCATTTGGGAACGGCCCATGGAACGGCCCGCGCGGCGACGGGCCCCGCCAGCCAGCGAGACGCACCTGTCGTTGGAGGAGAAGTCCATGCCGAGCACGATGCTCTCCTCCGTGTCCTGCCGGCCGTTTGTCGAGACCACCACCATGTACCGAGTGCGGTTCTGGCAGCTGCTTTCCAGTCTTACGGCCTGGGAGGAGAAGGGAGTGGGGGAGCAGGGCGATGCATGCGTGGATCTCAAGGCAGCGACCGGGCCTGCCCCGCGACGCTGGCCCAGGAGCCCGGCCTCACCCCACCCCGCGATCAGCCCGGGAAAGGGGGCTGCGGCACTCTCCTAGCTCACCCTTGGGCGAGCCAAGCCCCAGGCAGCCAGCGAGAGGCGCTTGGCACGGTGGGAAAGAAGACCACCTCCTGCGGGACGGCAGACGGATTCTGCACCCGTGCTTGCCGGAGCCCAGGCTGGGGTTTGGCGGACGCGGTGCGATCCTTGAGCCACACCGCACCATGAAATGAAATGTGCAAGTTCTGCACAGGTGGCCCCTCTGACACTGCAGGAGGAGGTGAGGCCGGCGCAGGTGCCAGGAACTCGGTCCACGAGCCGAGAATGAAGATGCTGGCACACGCCTGCGCTTTCAGGCTCGTTTTTGTCACCTGAAGGGCTAGAAACCTGCTTCCCTGTTCTTAAAACCAAACCGAGAGTCCTCCCAGGAGGAGTTCTCCTCCTCACACTCAGGTGGGAGAGGGGCAGAGGCGGAAAAGGAATTGCTGGAATCGCGCGCTGGGCAATATTACAGGCGCTCGTGGGGGTCTTTCGAGTGGAGGAACAGCTTCAACCAGCGTGGAAAAAACCTGCTGGCATTCCTTAGGATGCACCAAGCACTGAGCTTTTCCACAAGCATCCAAGAGAATCTGTCCTACCAGGACGCTGCACCCACTAATTGAAGAATCGCTTCTGCAGGAATTGAAAAGCATCCACTGGGGAGCCGGAAAGAGGGCCCGAAAAGGGAGCTGAAATACGGTGCCAGTTTCGTCGCCATGCCTTTGCCTCCCTTTCCTGCAGACCCAGAAGAGCTGGCAAGGTCGGGGGCTCTTGAACGGAGCTTTTCCAGCGCAAGAGGGCATGAAGCAGCCCAAGCCCTCACCCGACCCCAAGCGGAAAGACGCACGAGCTCACGCCGACGCGGTGTGCCAGGAAACCAGCATCCTGCCGCGTGGTCGACTTGCGAGAGGAACTGGCTGCATGTGGCCCAGAGATGCCCGTGGAGGGAACAGGCTGGTGGGACGGGACGGGCCCCAGAGCACATCTCCGGCACACGCCTTCCTTGCCGGGCAGTGATGCGCCGCCCGGGGCTCTGGCCGGCCTTGGGCACGCCTCTCCCCGAGAAAGCGAATTAAAGACTGAGCGGGACACGGCCAGCAGTGCCGATCACGAAGTCTGGCCAAGTAAGCCTTTTTGATTATTTCCGGAACAAGCCACTTCTGCTCTCTTTCGCAAGCCTTTGGTGAAAGGATCTCGGAGACACGCTGTTCCACAGACAGTGTTGGGACATGTGCCCTGAGCTGGCTAGTTTTAAAAAAAGGCCTTCTTCCCGGCAGAGTGGTGGGGCAGAGACGGGGCGAGTCCCCCAGGCCACCCCACGCCCGAGCAGAGTCCCTGGCGCTTTCTGAGGGCTGTGGCCCTTGCTGCCAAGGGAGAGCCGCTCTTTCCGCAGCTTTTCAGCTGGCGGGCACGGACGGCTTTGTTCGGACAAGCTATCGGCCTCCCGAGCCGGAATCTGTTTTCACTCTGCCGCTGTTGCGTTGTTGTCGGTCAATTTCAGTTTTGCTTTCCCGTATCGATCATCGTTTCCGTCCCACTGTATTACTGCTTCTAAGGTGCCTCGGGCACCGCTCTTGGGAGGAAGTCAGGGTCCAATTCAAAAAAAATAAATGACCAGACGCACGGGCAGCCTCCGGCTCGCAGATTGCTCTCCGGAGACCTGGCCAGGCAGCAAGTGGATTAGCATAATCTAATTTGCTTTGCTAAACCAATCTGGGCAGGAAGAACGGGTGGCGATGCGAGATCGCCGCCCCTGCACAAGCACGGCGCCAAGGGGACGGGCAGCCGGGCCTCCGGCTCCTGAAATGGAGCCTCGCAAGCTGTCGGGGGAGGCAGGCGAGAGAGACAGAGAGGAGATGTTTCGGCAAAGAAAAGGCCTACAACTCCCAGCAGGCCTCAGCCAGATGTGTTGCAGCTCGACAGGTCGGAGAAGCTTCCTCGGAACAAATATCGAATGGTGCAGACTAGGCTTGCTGAATCGGGAAAACTCCTGCAACTGGCTGAGGGTGGTGGGCCCATCTCCCCCTCTAAAAGACCGTGGTCTAAGCGGCTGTCGGAGCACAGTCCCTCTGTCCTTCTCAGGGATCTATGCTCGTCACCACACGCGAAGCAGCCGTCCGTGTGTCCAGGCAACACAGACACTGGTCGCCCCCCCACGGGTTTGCTTCCTAAAAGTGCACAGCACGGGAGGAAAAGGGCATGGGGAGGGAGGAGGAAAAGGCAAGCCGTGTTTCACAGCAGGGCCCTGCTTCCTCCCCGCCTCCCCTTCGGTGCAGCCAGCCTCCCCTCGAAGCCGAAAGGGCGGCCTTTCAGGCCTCTGGACGGAAGGGAGAGCACTGCAACTCACCAGTCGGATGTTGTCTTCCGGGCGGAGGAGAACGAACATGGCTTGCAGGTGCTGCTGGAGGTCCCCTGGAGCAGAGAAGGTTCGAGCCGTGAGGTGGGCACCCCACACGCAGCGCCTCCCCCCCCAGCGGCAGTCTCGGCCGGCGAGGCTTCCCTGCCCACCCGGTCCCCTCGGCTCCCCGCAGAACGATCAGCTGTGTGACGGCGAGCTTCAGATGATCAGCTCCCGGCAGAATGGTGTTGTCGGGGCCGTGAGACCGAATTGCAGCCGCCGGCTTTAAATTTCAGTGCCCTGATGCTTTGCCAGGCGGGGGCAAAGAAAGCTTCTTTCCGATGCTTCTCACGCCCCAGATTCCCCGTCCTGTATCGCCTCCCGCCAGTCGAATGTCAGAATCCACCAACGGCCCAAGAAGGCAGAGGCCGGCGGAGGCAGCAGGGGCGTCTGCATCCCGCCTGGAGAAGGATGACGAGAACCAGCGGGGAGGGGGGAGTACCTGCATGCTTGTTGCGCCGGTGGCTGATCCGGGGTGTCGACGAGCCATTTCCCCGTGGCAGGAAGAGGGCCGCTCCTTTGACCGTGAGGAAGCTTTCGCTGATGCTGGGGAGAGAGCGTGGAGGTGGGGTTAGGGAGGGAGAAGGACCAAGGGGGCGAACGGAGGGTCCTTCTCGGGCTGCCGGGTCCGTAGCGGCTTTCGCACTCGGAGCCTGTGAGCGGACACGCCGACGGGACCGCGTGCGTGCAGGAGAGAGGAGGAGAGATCCGCGCGGGGGGTGCCTCCCTGCCTCGGTGCGTCTCTCCCTGGCCCCTCCTGATCTGCCGGCTTGCAGACGCCCATTATTCTCAGCCATCAGGCTGGCTGTGGAGGATGGGCTCGGCAACCTAGCAGCTCCGGAGGGGCTTTGGTTGGAGAAGCCTGCTCTGTGGGGCTGGCGCTGAGCGGGGCGCGGCGGACCCTGGAAACGCAACGGACAGCAGCGATGAAGCTCGCCGTGCCGGATGCGGCCAGAGCCTGCCTTCGAACACTGAGCGCACCGCCTCGTTGTGGCCGAGTTCTCAAGCGCGGAAGTGTTTTCTCTCTCGCCAGCATCGCAATGTGCTGGCGGTTAAGAGCCTCCCTTGCCCTCGGCCGCAGAATCCGCCACTTGCACCCGTCCCTCTTTTCCTGCTTTTTGCAAAATCCAAGGGCAGACCCAGGCGCACCCCGAGGCCTGCCAAACGCTGCCCCCACCCCGGCCTGGTCCGCGTTACACGTGAGAACGCGGCTTGCCAACCTTAAATGCACCCGGGAGACCAGGGCAACTCACTTCCCTTTGTGCGTTAAATGAACCAGGCCGTCTCGCTCTCCCTCTCTCCACGCGAGGTTTATTTAAAGGAAAGGAAGTTTAATTAAAGCACCCAGCTGCTCCAAAGAAACCCTAAGAAAATCATTTGTAAAAGCATTGTGCTTTTTAAAGGAGGGTGCCAACTTCAAATCCTTCCTCAAAGAAAGCCAAGAGGCATTGTTTTGAATTAGACTTCGACGTGAGCTGGTGCACAGACGACAGGATCAAAGGGGAGAGGCAGAGGGACCCGAAATCAAGGCGCTTGGGAGCCCTCGGAAGTTCGCGTCAGAGCAGGGGCACCTGGCTTAAATGTTGAGGAATCATTACGATGGAGACTGGAAACAATCCCCAGCAGGGACAGACACTCTGCGTTGTAGGCAAGGCTGACCACCATTCAGCCTTCCCACCCCCTTTCGGTGTGCAGTCCTCTAAAGCAACTAAGGGCCACGCCTGCGTCTAGCAGCAGGGAGTTCCACAGGTTAGAGCGCATTCCTCAGCATGTGGAGACAGAAGAACGCACAGAAAGAAGCCCCGCTGGGTTCAGCCGACCCTGGGAAGGTGTGTAAAGATGGCCTCATGAAGTCCTGGACCACGAATCCCATCCTCCCCCAGCCAGGGTTCAGACTGATGGGTATTGTGGACCAGTGCCCTGGGAGGCCACTTGTCCAGGGAAGGCTGCTGCGCGGTTGGCACCCGAACCCAAAGACCCGTGAGCCCTCTAAGCAGCCTGACCACCCTCAATTTTTATTTTTATTGTATGAAAAATTTTGGTTATTTCCAACAGTATTTTATTTGCCCACCCTGGTCTTCCATGTAACGTAGACTTCTAAGACCGCATCCATTCAAAACTCAGAATGAAGGAAAAAAGAAAAAAAGAAATAGGAGGACAAAAGCATAAATATCAAAGTTCACCACAGCCGCCCCCATCCTCGGGTCTTTCCAAAGCGTTGCTCCACATGCTGGGAACTGTAGTACGACAACGGGTCCGGTGCCGGGAGGGAGAATCTGGCCTTCTGAGGAAAAGGACTGAAATCTTGGCCCATTTGCTGCTATTTATTTCCTACACAGCTCTCTTCTCTTCTACTGGGGGCCCTTCGAAGCAGCACGCCGTAACAGCATAAAAATACAGAAACCAGCAGTGGGAGGAAAGCACTGCCAGGGAGGGATCCGTGCGGACGGCTGCATCCGAGCAAAGCGGCAGGCGGAGTCCGAGAGTCAACCCGCCCCCCCCCCGAGGATGATGGTGCTCCGGCCACGATCCAGCACACGGAGCCTCTCCTCGCAAGGCCACGGAGCTGCCGGCTCTGTGGCCCCTCGGATGAGAGCGTGGCCCCGCGGTGCCAAGACCAGGCGGCCTCTGGAGCGCTCTGCCCAGGGAGCATCGAGGCTCCGTTCGGCTGCGAACAGGTAAGACGGCATGGCCGCCGCTGGGGAGGTCCGTGGGGAATGGCCGCCCCCTCGGCCTGCGTGGGCGGAGGCCGATTTGGCGATGTGCGACCAACCCACCCTGGAAATGCCTCCGTCGCCACGTGGGGCACAAAGGCCGAGCTTCCGGGCGGCCACGTGCACCCCCAGATCTCGTCCACGGAACTCCAGCTCTCTTGCACAGCCCCCGGGTTGCAAAGTCTTGCTCCCACACCGTTGGTTATCACTCGAAGAAAAATCCCACTCGCTGAGCCGTGCCTGCAGCCGCCCCTCACACCGCGGCCCCGAATTTAAGCTGTCCACTCCTTGGGCAAAGATTCGCCCTAGAGGATGACACATAATCCTACGCACGTTTAGACAGAAAAAGGTCCAGCCACATCCAGTAGTTCCCAGCCTGCCTTGGGAATCGGTAGGGCTTTTTCCTGCCTAGAGTTGTGCCCACAGAAAGACACCCCCGCCAGCTGCCCTTCCGGGGTTCCCTGCCAACTCCACACTGGAAACTTCCTTTTTATCGGAAGGCTCTGCAGCAGGCTGACTGGCCTTGAGAGTCCCCCCTCCGGAGGGGAGGCTGAGTGGGGCTTTGCCACTGCAACTCGCTCAAGAATGTGGAAAAACAGATCATTCGTGTATCCCTGGGGAGGGGAGGGCAGAGGGAAAGAACGAGCCGGGAAGGTCAAGCAGAGCCGAAGCGAAAGAGATAAGGCGGCGATTGCTGCAACGGTGGCCCAGGCCGAGGCCGTGAGACAGCAGGCCAGAAGTCTGACCTCGCTGGGCGACTCGTGGAGACGAGCCAGAGGGCTCGGTCTTGCCTGGAGATGGGCGAAGCCAGCGCAAACCTTGCCTCCGGCTGTGTGAGTCCATGTGCCTGCCTGCTGCAGATAAACCTCTGGAGAGTAACACCGGCACAGATGCACGAAAACATGGCTGTTATTTCAGAGGAGGGCGTGCGCCAGGGCATCGTGCGCAGCGCTGCCATTCCGCGGAAACGGAGAGCGGCGGGATTCTCCCAGCCGAGGCGCCCAGTTCTCCTGAGTGGAAAGACGCGCTCCAAGGCGGAGGGGGCGGCTCCCTGTGCCCGTGACCAGGTGTTCTGCATGTCCCATCTCCTCCCTGGGAGACCCGAAGGGCAGGCCAGAAGTTATGCAATGCAAAGTGTGCGAAAACAAGGCCTTTTGTGCAATCGCGCAAAACTGAATTGCGGGATTTCAGCTCTTTCCCGCAAGGGAAATCGAGGTCTGAGCCTGCGTCAGAGAAGGCCGGAGCTGCGGCGGGGAAGGGGCAAGAGGCGGCAGGAGGAACAGAGGAAGGCTGCACACAGCTGCCCAACCACATCAACGCCGGGCCCCCGACGAGAAAGGGGAAGTCGGGCCTTCTGAGAAGGGAAGTCAGACTCGCCGAGTGTGGGAAAGTCGCGTCAGCTCACAAGCCGCTGCCCGAGGTAAACATCTGCCCTTGTGGAGAGGCCTGTGCAGGGCCCTACGTGGGGCCTTTGCCAGCTCTGATCGGTGCAAACTTTGCAAAATAGCCGGCGCAAACTTTAGTGGAGACACGGATGGCCGGGGAAGAGGCCGGGCGGCTCCAGATGCGGTCCGAGGCACTCTCGACGTGCTGCTCAGCACTCGCAAATGAGGCCACGCGAGCGAACGCTGCGAAATTCCTTTCGGGAACGAAGGGGAAACTGGGACCCGCACCTGCCGATCCGGACGGCGGCTCCTTTCTGGGAAGGGCCACGCAGGTGGCAGGACGCTACGCCTCTCCTCAGCTCGGGGGGCCAGCGAGCACGGCAACGTCCCCCGCTCGGCAGACCCAGGCCACGGGCCAAGCCCGGCCGCACGAGGCCGAGCGCCGGTCGGGGCGATGCAGAGCCGGCTTCCGTTTCCCCCGTGGGCGCACAGGGAGCCCCTTGGTCGCTGCCTCTCAGCTTCATCCACCTCATAAGGCTGTTGGGAGGATGAGGATGAGGAGGCAGGCCGAGGCCACCGCAGGAATCTTGCAAGGAGACAGCAGTCCCGCCAGTCCGCACAGGGGCCCCGCAGCTGACACAGGAAATCCACGCACAGGACATGACACCCTCTGGTCCGCGTTTCCCAGCCTTTGGGGCACAGGGGCACACTGCTGGGGAGCATGGGCAGGGGGTGCCACCGCACCCCCGTCCTGCTTGCGGGCTCCTGTGCACGGCTGGAGAGCCGCTGTGTGCCCCGAAGGCTGGACCTGGGCCCCGGGCCTGATGCTGCAGGCCCCTCCGATGCTGGGGGGCGCACATTCCCATGAGGACTAGCAGCCACGGCCCCCCTTCTCCACCAGGAACGTCCCCACATTGGCAGCCAGGCACACCATCTTGTGGCAGTGAGTTCCAGGGTTTAACTCCGCGCCTTGTGAAGGAGGCCGTGCTTTGACCGGTTCGTAACCTCCCACCGTTCGGCTCTGTGGGATGGCCACCCTGCCGGGCCGCGTTCCCTCCCCGCTTCCTCCACACCAGCAGCCACAGCCGTTCCCCTTCCCAAGGCCCGCGTCTTGCACGGAAGGAGAGGAGACGGGAAGGGACGACGGGGAGGGGAAGGGGTAAAGGTTACCTTTCCACCGCCAGGCAGGACACACCTAGGCACCTGGACGAGTCATGACGGGGAGATCTGCAAACAAACAACCCCCTCCCACCGCCAAAAGAAGTGGCGACGGAACAACCCCCCAACCCGGTTGTTTCCAAGCCCAGGTCGAGCAAATGCAAGGAAGCTTTTTTCTCAAAGAGCCTGGAAGCGGATTTTTCCAAACACCCAAGAGGCAAGGCTGAGCTGTGCCAGTCAGTTGTGCCAGCCCGCCCGCCCACCCCTCGCACGACTTGCGCACTCTCAT